GGCGGGGGCCCGTCCCAGCGCTCGTCGGCGTCGCAGGTGAGCAGCGCGCGGCCGCGCAGCGCGAAGCCCTCGTCGCAGGCGTAGCGCACGCGCGCGCCCAGCCCCACCGACCCCGCGTCCAGCAGCTGGTAGAAGCCGTGCGCGATGCTCGCCGGCAGCCCACACTCCACCCCTGCGCACGCACACAGGCGCTCAGCCGCGCGCTCGCGCTACACAACACCCCGACGAATGCTCGCACAGGGAGGACACGTAAGAACTTGAATTTACGAAAATAGATACAGCAAGATTTTACGCATTTAGCAATCTAAGTTGCTATCGACACGTTCATCCTTGAATGGAGCGAATTGAAATATTAAAACTTATTTGTGGGGAGACCATCTATAGATAACATCCGAAAAGTCATAATACATTTAAATAGATATTTAACTGAACAGTGTACGATAAGTTTTTCAGTTCAGAAAATGATGGACCAAGTGGATGGAATGGAATTAATGAGAAACTCTAAATTTTGAATACTATAATTATACTTTAATGTTCAGTGTTTTAAGATGTAACATGTGTTTTAAATCGTTACATTGTTCTAAATTATCAAACATTGATTGAAGTACGCAAACAAAAGCAACGAGGAGAATTTATCGAATATTCAAAGAACATTATTTAAATATTCATGAAAAAAGTTTCAGAACAGATTTTTTCAAAATTCGCCTTACTTTACTTATTAGAGTTTTAAAATATATAACACATTAATTAGTCTAGTAAAATCTTAAATACTGAAAACGAAAGCGTGTAAAAATTTAAATAATTCCAATGAATGGTCAGCGCCCGAGAAGCGAGAGCGAGAGGGGGAACTCACGCTTGCAGACGGGCGGGAACTCGTCGTAGAAGCCCGTGGGCAGGCAGGAGCGGAGCGCCGGCCCCACCAGCAGGTGGCCCGGGTCGCACGCCACGCGCACCTCCGCGCCCACGGCGAAGCCAGCCGGCGCCGCCAGCGTCGAGTTGGGCGGCTGCTCGGGCCGGCCGCACGCCGTCGGCTCTGCAACCCCCACACAAGCACAAGCACGATAAGACACCAACACAACACAAAACGCATTCCAACAAAAATAATTTAACTCAAATTCAATAAATAAATAAATAAATAAATTCCATTACGAATTAAGTCATTAATTTCAAAATTTAAACAAAATAAAGATCGTAGAATAAAAGTGGGTTTACCATACTAAAGAGCACAGATAAGTGGTTAAGATTCAGGAAAAAAACAGAAATTGAATTTTCTAAGAGTTTTCGTTATTTTGTCGGTATAATATACAGTAAATAAGATTTAAAATCCAACGCTCAAGATAAACTTACGTTGAAAAATTCACAACTAAGTGTTTTTTGCGGCTTTTACAGAATATTTTCTTACTTGATGCATTTTCCCACATATTTTTAAAAAATCCTAAGGCAAGCAAATCGGGTTAAAATGATTTGAAAATATTGACACTCCGCAATATCTCTAGAATGTATTCCCCTTTTCAGGATTGAAAATATCTCTTTTGAGAAAAGTAATCCCAAGCCACTCAAAGCAGAAGATAACAAGTACAGACGAAGACGATTACAGGAACTATTCGTAAGGAAAAAATTGTCGGATTTCTCTTTTAAGAAATATTTGTCGCAAAAAATGGTTAGCTGTCCAATAATAATGTTTTATGTACTTGTTTTTGACGTGCAGCAAACTGTCACGTAAAGGGAAGAATTCTAGCTTGTCGGAACGCGTCGTAAAACTACAGGTTACCGAGGTTTCTTCTTTACGTGAGCCAGGTGCTTCCGAGGAAAAAGAAAACATTTTCACTAAATATTTACAACAGTAATAAACCACTTAACATTCTTGTTTCTAGTATTGTTAGTCTGCAAAAGAAAATATGAAAAAGTTTCTCATATTAAAATGGTTTCTTAGAATCAATTTCGAAAATACCTTCTTTCTTTCGAAAAATACTTCTGAAGAAACGAGAAAGAACGTTTGCATTTTCCCCTAACTGTCGCATATTTTTCTGTTTGGAAATTAATTTTTAAAAGTGTCTGCCAAGAAAGCCTCAAATATCGTATTTAATTAAACATTTGGGGACTATGGAGCTCTGACTGAAACACGTCTGTTATATAGTTTCAAAGATTGTGTATTATGGACGACCACTGGGATTGCTTTAGTAGCAAGAGAGTATGCAGAGACAAATTGGGTTGGTGATTCGATGTTGAAGCGCTGTCTCACGCCGTGTGCGTGCCCGAACCTCAATCATTTGCACGTGCGTTGGCTTAACTGTGAGAAAAGGCCCTGGATGACCCGAGGGTTTCTCACGATTTCAGTCCTGCCAGACAAAGGCGCGCAATAATAGAGAGAAAGTACTGTTCATCCGCCAATTCACGCGTAAGTACCTCAAGTGCCGTGTGCAATCATGCCAATCCGTGCAGGGCAGACGTTTTCTGACTTGTGATAAGTCAACATATTCATAGAGCAAAGTTCCCCAAATGTTCAACGAAATGTACTACGTACTAAAACTGCGTGCAAACATAATTGAGACTTTTTTCCGTTGTCATGCTGTTTTCCTGATTCCAATGCGGTGCGGATTTTACTATGCGGATTGTAAACGCTACAAGAAAGCGAATATCATAAGAAATTAATTTGAAGGAATTATTTGACAATTCATATGATTTTTCAGGCACTAATTTCTTGAACTATGATCCCTGATTTAAGTGCAACTAACCTGCAGGGGCTGATCCACCCGATCATTTTGATGGGTGTCTTCATAGATTTTTGTTAAGTAATAAACATTATTATATTGTATATAATTGTTTAAGTATATATATGATATTATAAAAGTTTATTGTTTAATAATTACATAATTGTAACATAAATAAATATTTAAATTAATTTTTACAAATAAAAAAGGAAATAAACGAAAACTTTTGGGACGTATGGTCCCAATGCCCCCCCCCCTAGATCCGTTATTGTTAACCTGTTGTCGACATTAATTGATTCTTGGTTCATCGAAGTAACTCCAGTAACGGCAAAATTTTTATGGCGTATTTTGAAGACGGAGCTAATTATTTACACATGTTCTCGAATTGTTTTCACGAACTCTCTAGGTCAATAAATTACAAATTCTTAACCGTTTTTTTGAGAAAACAATATTTTAACTCATCTCTTACACCCAGAAGATAAACAATTCGAAACATTGTAAATATTTAGTTGTTTAAGAAAACTGTTACGATTGCTAGTCCGAGGAAACATAATATGGACAGGGGGTAGAGATTTCGGACTCAAAAAAACGTGGACTTTATTGTTCTCCTCCCCCACATGTCACATAGTTTCAACTGACGTTAAATAAATAAATAGAAAGGCAAGAAAGAAAGTAAGGGTCGCAAGGCAAGGCAAGGCACGCACGGTGCTGGCAGATGAAGGCGAGGCGCGCGTCGCAGGGCGTGTCGGACCACAGCCAGCCCTTGGCGCCGTCGTAGCGCGCGCAGTCCTGGTCGCCGCCCGGCAGGTTCCAGAAGGACACCGTCACGTCGCCGCCGCCCAGCCACTTCCAGTTGTTGCGGTCGGCCGGGTCGCGCACCGCGCCCAGCCAGTACTGGCTGCCCGAGTCGCTCCTGCGGACACAGCCAGCGCTTGCGCTCACCTTCTCGCACTTTTCGCATGGCGTCCCCTAGGGAAATTTCCGTTATAGCATTGTCCCTTACAACTATCTACTTTGGCGGAAGAAATTTAAAGTCGTCTTTATTAATCCAGTTAAAACAGTTTTGGGCTTCTTCAAGTACATTCACTGTTGAAACACTAGAAAGGCCTTGAACGCAATAAAAAGTGGTTACACTGCTAGGTCGTGTACGAAAAATTCTCTAAATGTTTGGTTCGAGTGTTTGGTTTACGTTGATTCTATTGTTTCCTCAGGAATTATATTTGCTGTGAATTGTCGGACCGTTTTATGCGTTGCAATATTTTCTCTCTCGCGAGTTGAAGTATTATTTCACTGTAGTGTATTAAAAATCTGTGAGATGTCTGAAAATCTATTACTCCAATTCCATCTAAGGGAAAATAGAATAAAAATTTCAAACAGAGAATCTAGAATTCTCTCAATTAATCTCTTCTCAGACATAATAATTTCTATACTTTAAATCAATAAAGTGGGTTTGTATCTACAAATCATATTTTCATTTTAAGATTCATATGAACGTGTTTACAGGAAATTAAATGTATCTGTTTGATTTGAATAGACTCAGCGTCAGCGTTTGTTTTGTTTACCTAACGTGTTTAAAACTCATAATGATCTAAAGATTGAAATAGGTATTGGAAATAAACATTGCATTAAATGAACATCACAAAAAATACAAAATTATTTTCTAACATGTTTACAAACTATCAAGTTCTTAGAAAAAACTATTCAATCAAGTACTGTTCTATTATGGCTCATTGTAGTTGCCAACAATCTAGCTGTTTATGTGACTTAAATAAAAACGAATTAAAACAAAACAATATTCAGTGAACAAATCAAAGAACATACAAGGCCTTCAATCCAATATTTACACAGTAAATTAAAATATACTTAATGAAGATTACTCCCCAGTACCATCCTACGAAAATTTTTATAGAGAACTTATGTTCCCGTCAACGTGGTAAAACATTTTTCTAAACACTTAGGCAAAAAAACTGCTGTAGAGAAACACAATATTGCCGCAACACACCACCTTCAATATGATACTCGTATTAACAAAGCAATTTAAAATATACTTGATGAAGATTATTCTCGAGTACCATCCTACGGAAACTTTAACAGAGCACTCATGCTACTGTCAACGTGGTAAGACATTTTTAAGACATTCATAAGACAAATGACCGAGGCAACATAATTGCGGTAGAGAAACACAATATTGCCGTCAACACACCACCTTCATTATGATATTAACAAAGCAATTTAAAATATACTTGAAGATTATTCTCGAGTACCATCCTACGGAAAATGTTCAACAGGACGTATGCATGCGACAAGGCATTTTTCTGTTGGGTGGGTGNTACCTGTGCCTGCGCCAGAGCTCCCAGCTGATGAAGCCCTGCAGCGCCGGGTTGCTCTCGTCCACGAGCGTGCCGCCGCGCGCGCGGCAGTAGGCCAGGGCCTCGCGGAAGGGCAGCGCCGTGCGGCTGTGGAAGGCGTAGCACTTGCCGTTGTACGTCGCCATGCTGCCCGGCGGCGCGTCCCGGAACTGCGGGCAGCGCTCCATCGGCAGCGCCTGCGACACACGGGGACAGCTCAGGGCCGGAGCTAAGCGAATGCAGCGGCTCAGACTGGAAGGTCCTGGGGATCGAGTCCTGGAGGATTTGTGGTATTTGGGACGAATTCAGTCGCTGTCTGGAGGGTTGATTGATTGTTAGGGATTCCGAGCGTCAACTAAGGTCATTAAGCCTGTAAGTGTGGTGCATGTTTTTTCCTTGATAGGTGGCGATGATATTTCCCCGCTGTAAGACGAGATCCGGCGCTGGCTAGTCGTCGTCGTCGTCGTCGTCGGTTAGGCGACGTCGACGGTTAGTGGGGTTTTACTTTAAAACACAATCAATATTTTTTGGTTGACTATTACGAACTATACATGCTAATGGAGTATAATTGTTCTTCATTTGTCTCTACATTAACGTAAGACGTGGAATATATCATGGATCTTATAATGTAATACATACTTTAAAACCTAATCAAGTATCTCCCTCCAGCGGAGCACCGCCCCAGCTGGGACAAGCTCTGTGCTCCCGACCAGTTTTCCTGCATGAGTAGTAGTGTTGTTCACATTAGTGAGTGTGTAGATAAGGGGGGTGAGAAGGGTGAGTATAGAGGAAGGAAAGGTCGCGCGCGATCCGTGGCTTGTTTGTTACGGTCGCTTGGTGTTGATCGTAGATCAGTCTGATACATAACTGGTCTGGCTAGGGGGGTACCAGGAGAAGGAGACTCCACAAGCACACGTACCGATCAGCGCCGAAACTCGCGTTCCAGCAGATGAGGAACACCGCCACATTCCGGGTGATAACATGCACAACAGTTAGTAATTATAAGTTTGCAGTCTAATGACAATATCAGCTGACGCTCTCGGAAACAGCAATCAATCTCGTGTATATTGAAAATTTCCAACAAATTGCTGAGACGCAAAGTTACGTGAGAATTCATTTGCAAATGCCCAATGCTCGAGTGGTATTTAAGAAGACTATTCCACAAATTAAATTATTTCCAAATGAGTTTCTAAAGAAGGTAAATATTGTTTATATTACAAATGAAAATTGCACTTTTAGTGCATATTGCTTTCTAAGAATAATCTATCGGAATTTATAGGCTAGTAGAGAGAAATGGTGTGAAACATCGCCTAGAAAAAGCGATTTTTTAATATACTTTCTTAATTGGGGCTTTCCAGATTTATTGTTCCGTACGTTCATTTCCTGAGTGGGATTGTCATCAAAATAGTTTGTTATTTCACTCCCAAAGCAGTTAACTTCAACATTTCATTCCATTACAAATTCACTTTTATAAAACAATATACACATTTAATATATTTTCATTATTAGTTCAGACACTCAAGATGTACTCAACTCTTTAGTAGAGTATATTCCGACTAGTGTTGTTTTGAAATACAGAATTTGCCAATTTTTCTGTACATGATTATAAATATATTTCTAAGTCTAAGTACTTAGTTCCCAGTTCTAAGTACAAAGCACATCTCTCTTTTCTTCATTCTCAAATATGACAGTGTAATATCTTTCTTCAGCTTCATACGTCAGCAGGAAAACGCAATAAAATGACCCTGAGGAGTTAAGGAAGGAAATACTACATGTTAAACGAGAAACATGTGACCCATAAAAAGTGAAAATCATACCAGTTTGGTATATTCAAGATCTACATGCGAGTCGCAAGAGAACACGTTTTAAGTGATGAGTACTCACTCAACCTGTTTGGTGGCAACAGTTACCGTAAGAATACTTCTAAAGCCAAAAGCCTTCTTGCAGTGAATTTCTCGATTTTAAGCCCTTCACATTCAAATTCACGCCAATATGATCTTGCAAATATTTTACATGCGTGTTTGTATCACATTCCAAGATCCGCATTCCTGAGCTCTTGGGAGACCTCACCTGCACAAACAGGTTCTAGGCCTCGTATTTCAATCTTGAAATGCGAGCGAATATAAGCGAAATGTCTCCCAGAAACATTTTAACGACATAAAAAGGTTTGTCTTCTGGAATGCTCTTAATGCATGTTATGTATACGCGTCTGAGTACGACGTAGCTATTGAAACAAGTGTTTACAATTGGTGTAAAACAACTTGCAACATTTCAACATTACAATTGGTGTCTGGATATGACGCTGTAGGCAACCCGCCATACAGATCTGTACAACGGGACCAGAGTGCTTCTACTCCTTGCTGTGAATAAGGACTTGACGCACCGAGTTCCGTAAGACCCGATTGACGTAAGGCTTCCTTTTGACGATCAATTTCGGGAGGTTTAAAGAACGGGCGTGTGCGCACAATCCTGATATTCCCTGTTTCCAGGCTAATCATATGAATGTCATTAACGAACGGAACGCCAACGAAAACAAGGGGAAGAGTTGCGAATCTGAAAAAACACGATTTGCAGTTTGCAATCTGCTGCCCTAAAAATCTTCTGGATGAATAATACGATCGCGAAAGTAGACAAGGTGGCTGCACTTAAAACTCGTACAGGGACCGAAAATAAATACTTGGGATGTGAGTATTTTAAGAAATGATATTACAATACGACGTATACCTCAAACGAGACTGCCAGGCCGAGCCAGGGACACATCTAGTTGATCGTTTTTTTGGGGGGGGGGATTTTGGATAAGAAATAAACATGTGTTATTATATTGAATATTATTTTTGTGGTGTATATATAATACTATACAATATTATTGTTCGAATATAAATTATATTTAAATACATTTTTCAAAACAGAGAAAGGTAAAACAAAAATACTAGGCTTTTGGGGGAGGGCATAGCCCACATGATAGTCCTATCTCCAGTAGGTCGAGCTTAACCAATTGATTACTTAACAAGAAATGGTAGGGATATCGTGTATTTAATCCTTTTTGCATCAATTTTTATGTATTTTTAATTTGACTACTTATTCTAGGAACGATGAGAGATTGGAGTTAATAGGAGGGCATTAATTGTCGCAAAACGTATGTTCTAAGAATACTTATTACGAAACTGATTATAGTTCTAAATATTGGGGTGTAGTAGATCATTGTGGTGGGCATGTAAAACATTTGCATTCTTATGATTCTTATTACGAAACTGATCGCAGTTCCATAAAGTTTAACTGCGGATAGTTAAAGTGGATAAACACAAGTGGAGAGAAGCACAAGTTTTGAAGAATCGACAAAATCTGATTACAGCTTATTTCAGGAATAAAGTAGTATATTAAGTACAAAAATAAATAATTAATGAAATTCTTTCAGAAAAAATCTCAAAATAATGGCATGTTTTGAACTTTAGAAGAGTTTCCTTTAATAATTGTAATGAACACAATGCGTCTGCGAACACACGCGTTAACTAACACATGAGCACAAAACCTTAATGCAAATATCAGAGTTTTAATAGTTATTAGCTTAAAGAGTAGACTTGGCCAGACACATTATTC